CAGGTGTTGGATGTTTTTCAGTGTAGGTTGGTATACCGGTTCTGGTTTCTCGACAGTCTTCCGTGGTTCTTTGTTTTACCATCTGACGTGGTCCGACCCTTCTGACCTTTTATACGTTATCCATTCGTCGAACCACACTTCTTTAGTTGACCCCTCGTTAATAATCTTTTACCTTCTGTATGTTCTGGTGACTATTAGAGGAGCTAGACCCCGAGGAGCCGTTCTAAAGTGGGCACCCCAGTTTTACTAGTGTTCTTGCCACTCGTTTTTAGGGTCTTGGTGCTGCCCCCCCCTGGATCAGTTACTGGACAGTCTCGTCGACCTTTGGTTTCATTGTTTCCGATGGTAGTCATTTGTGGTGATGCGGCGGTCCCTGAGTTTAGGACGTCACGGTCTGCACACGGGGACGAATTCGGTCATGTACTAGGTCCGGGCACCGGCTCTTCCAAACGAATCTCTCGTAATCCTACTAGGTTCTTCTCCTAAACCCTCTTACATATACCAGTCTACTTTGGTTTATCTTGAAAAAACCATTTTTGAGTTGATCTGCACAAAACCTCCCTCTTTCTTACACCAACGGTAGGTTTTCTTGTGGTATGGACGACACTTTGTACCCCCACCCTTAGGTAGTAACGAAACCCGACAAAGACGTTTCCCTGGTCCCGCCTGACTAGGCACATTTCCTTTTCTTCTTACCCGGTAACATAGCACTCTAAACTCACTGTTGGAGGAAGGTGGACGTTCCCGTAACTTCTACTTTGGACCGACACCAGACAAGTCGTACTAGTTATAGGGTTTGTGTGGCGGGCCGTTGCGTATCTCCACCGAAGATTCTTCGTAAGTTCCAGGACCTCACCCGATCGGTCAGAGGTCAGATTGGGGTATCTTTAAGAAACCTCCCCCAACTTTCAGGCTACAACGGCGTCGGCTGTCGGGGTTTGTAGTGACGACAAAACTAAAATCCCGAGAGTAGAAAAATCACCCTCTTGAACGCCCTTAACCACCGACTGATATTATGAAAAAAACGGGGTGACATCGAGGGAGACGTCAGGTCTAATGCATTTTGACGACCTCTGACTCTAGAAAATCGAGACAAAACAGCAGGTGGTAGAGAATGGTCAGGACATATACAAAGGTGGAATACAAGTAGTCGATGATCGCATTGACACAGACAGAAGGTAACACAACAACTCGTTCTATCACAATTCACCCAAATAATCTCTGAAGTGGTTTCTTTTTGACGTGAAAACGTCGGTTGATTTCCGACTCTGTAGTTTGTCACCTTCAACCCCCGACATGTTGGTTTTGTTCCTCGACTTTCTTCGATATTTTAGTCTCAGCCCACTAGTAGTCGTCCAAGAGAATATACTTCCGCGAAAGGACAGAAGGTGACCTTAGATAAGTCAGAAAAAGTATTTCTTTTCGTTACTCCCGTAGTACGTAATTTCTCCGTTCATAGGAACTTCTAAAAGGTGTCTCATACCGATCTACCGATCACAGTCCTGCGAAAACCAACCGAAAATTAATTATGTATATCCGATGACCGTGGTATTACCCTCCAAGTGGGTTTTGAGAAGTCACGACACGAAACAAAATTCTTAAAACAGAATTCTAGATAAAACATAAATACAGTTAGACGAATTTCATATAAAACAGGGTTAATGTGTGACTAAAATAAACCCCTTTAAAGTACATCGTCATAGTACTGCGTCCTAATGATACAGAACTCAACGACGTAGTGAACTCAACCTGTCCTTCGTCCCTGCGTCGAGGTGTTGTCCTTCTCGCTGACGTTTGGTACTTTGACTCTTTATTCGTTTCCTGACCCGTGTCCACTCCATTACAAAATAACATCAATTTTTCTCACTAAGAACATGACTTTTTGTTCAGAAACTAGACGTACGTCAGTCGGAACTAAACTTCACGGAATGAGTAGGTGTTTTAAGAGAGAAGGAAACTTACATTAGTCCAACAAAAAAGGCGGATTACGTGACCACTCTATAAACAGACCTAGGAAGGTACGTTAAGGTTCCTCGTTAAGTCGTTTAAGTCGTCAACGATCCGTTACGGACGCTTACGTCTCGTTTGTTCTTTTCCTAGAGGAAGGGTGACGGAGTTCTCATTCGGAAAAGGGAGTCATCGGATAGTCGTTGATAATTTGTGTAAGGTTTTTCTGTCTTGACATGTAATTAATAGATAGTTGGATCCTTAACCAATTTTATCTCCTTTGGATATTTGAGATTTTGACTTCCTAGAACAATTACTTTACATACCTTACCTTTTTTCATTGATACTCTTAAATTATGTCAAGTATGGAAACTGCTATTCTACTTATTCTAACCACTCATATATGATATTAAATAGAGAGTGTTTTGGTAGGGCAATCTACAACCATTACATACATACTCTCATTGATTAAATAGAAAATTCTTATATATATAGGATATTAAAAGAATTTGGAAAGAAGGTCTTAACATACTAATTATACTGATAACGAGTTCAAACAGGTGCCATTAATACAGTTAACAAGTGGAGGACAGAGGAGGTTCTTACAGAAGAAGTTACAGGTCTGTGAGAAAGTTAGTTTGTAGGTGACCAAATACTTATTTTCCACCATAATTTGCAAATAAATTCTTTAAAAATCAGACAATGTGATTTTCTGGATTTTTTTTTCCTCATAGTTGAGGTATACCTAGGATGGACATTACAGGCCTCTCTCATCTTTTTAAGTGGGAGAACTTGCACAATTGGTGGTTGACTAAATACTTTTTTGCCCCACTGTATATTTGGTATAAAGTCTCTTTTGCCCCACTGTATATTTGGTATAAAGTCTCTGAATAACCAACTTTACCCTTCCTGCTAAGCAACAAACACCGGACACAGTTAGCGAGTAGCTGTCGAACATAGTAGAATATTAGGAGCAGGTGGAAAGTTGGTAGAGACCAAAAACAGAGCCAATAGAGAATTGAATATTGGACTTAAATTGCCAGGAGGTCAGAAACTTGCCTCCAAATGCTGTTATAGATCTGTATCTGCTGGTGTGTAACTGGTGGCTAACTGGTTGTAACTGTTTTGTTAATCGCTTCTTTCCGTGAAGTCAAGTTGCGGAAAAACGGTTATTATTAATATTTTGAATAGAAGAGAATAAGTAGTTACTGTATATGTAGTCATAATCAGATAGGAATCTCCGTTAAATGTGTGTATAAAAGCCAACTGTGCTCTTGAACTCACCTATAATCTGCAGCTTACTTTAGGGATTGAAAGATGTAGTCTGTAAAGAAAGCCGGAGACGGGAGGTTCCGATGTCTGAAACAGTGGCCCTGCAGGACGTGGTTGATGATGGTTGCAGACAGTTTGGAGACAGAAGACACTTCAGCATCTTCATGTACGCCAACAAGGAGGCCAGCGGCATCGATACACTGTGGAACCAAAAGGGGAAATCATCAACATCTGGTGATCGAGACAGAAATACATCTTAGAATTTAAATCCTTACTTGCAAATCAGAGTGGTCTTGATGGGATGGGTCATAGTGCTGGCTGATGAGCTGCAGAATACTTTGTTTCTCTGGATGATAGGAAGCGATTGTCCTCATCCAGATTAATCAAACAACAGCAATTTCCACAAACTTCCACAGATTTTTTTAGCAGAGGAAGGCAGGAAGTGGGAAGCGAGCAATCTCTTGAACAAGAAACAGAAAGCCACCAGTGATTGCTTCAAGAGTACTGAGTGTCAAGGTGGGACAATAATTCTATTTTTAATAAATGAAAGGCAGAAGAGGAGATTGATTGACTTTGTAAATTAATTTATCCAAGCAGGCTTTTCTATGGTTCAATATATTGCCTTTAACTGAGATTTTGTATCTATAAATAGCTGTGCTAAATATGTGCAAGAGCGTAGGTGACTTTCAGCGAGATTGGCTTTGAAGAAGTTTCACATCTGATCAGGAATGTGCCGGTTTCAAAATATTACTAACAAGGTTTAAATAAGGTTTTTGCAGCACTTTGCTGATGTGAGGGTTTTTCATGGGATAGTAGCCCCCTGCAGGTCCGCGGGGGCTTCGGGATGATACAAGTCAGTAGAAAGAGAGGACAGGAGGAAATCCTGCTTCCTATTGGGGGAAGCGAGTGGAGATCTGACCACTTTAGCCCCAAACTGAAGGGATGCCCAGCAGTGGTGCAGACACATGCCTAGGAAATACCTGTGTTCATTAAACACAAAGATTTAGGAGAATCCTTACCAAGTTGTATATTATAATGAACACATATAGACTGCAACCTACTAGTGACATGATATAAAGGTTATCAGAAAATCAAGAATTGATCATAAAAAGTATTAAAACACAATATACTCTTTCCTTTTTGCAATTTGATATCAACTTATAGAGGACAAATCTGTCTCTTTAGCTGCTAAATGCACAAAAAAACAAAATATTTGGGGTTGTTTGATGCCGTGCAGTCAGTTAACTAACATGTATTTACATTTTATTCTTACTTATGAGTGGCCCAGAAAACTAAAACTATCAAACTAATTAGAAAGAAAAAAAGGTAATAAATCAAAAATAAATGCTATGCTGTTTTCTGAGAGGGTTAAATGCTAGGACATATACAGTTGCAAGAAAAAGTATGTGAACCCTTTGGAATTACCTGGATTTCTGCATAAGTTGGTCATAAAATGTGTTCTGATCTGCACGTTTGAAGTTTGCAAAAGAGCACCTGGATGTTCCACAGCACTACTGGCAAAATATTCTGTGGACAGATGAAACCAAAGTTGAGTTGTTNAAAAATATAAAGACAACAATTTAATAACAGACAAATAATCTAACATCATTACAAAAAATAATGTACATGTCGTGAAACCGAGCTGTTTTTAGCCGAAAATTTACACGATATATGTTATTTATTTAACTAAAGTAAACTACTATCTTGATCTATCTAGCTAGCTACGATCAAATTAGTGGGAGTCAGCCAGACGGTCTAAACGTCCTAGGAGCACCGCCCGGGGTCGCTGGGTGGCATGGACCTCGTAATTCTCAGGAGAACTTACTTGGTACGACTTTAGCCGTTGTACAAGGGCTAGTACCCTAGGTCTGTATTTATCGTCTCAGAATTCTAATAATACATAATTTGGAAAAATTTACCCACCAGATCAGAGTACGTGAGTGAGTAGTCACGTTGTGATGTAAACAATAATAAGATTTCATTGATCACATATAAAATATATTATCGATAAAGGTGTGGATCTTTTTATCTCGTAGTCCTGGTGCTAGACGGGAAAAACATTTGAATCCGGGACAAAAACGTACTTGAAAGGTTAGTTAGGTTGAATAAAATATATCGTGAAATTTTGAAGTCTGGTTCACGACGACATGCATTTTATTTATGTAAATTTTATTTTTCTATGGTTGTGTCTTTGTTTGGTCTTATTGCATTATTATTTTTTATTTTTTGCGGGTATATTATTTTTGGTTATCTGGTGACTTAGATTTATTTCGTTGTTAGATGAACAAATGCTTACGTTCCTCTCTTCACCCAAAATTCTGCCTAATTTTTTCCTGTCACGACGCGCGGACAAAGAAAATATAGGGCAGAATTTTGGGTGGAGAAGAGGAATCGTAAGCATTTTTCATCTTAACAACGAAATAAATTAAAAGTCCCAGATAACAAAAATAATAATACCGACAAAAAATAAACAAATAATAATGCCAAATAAGACCAAACAAACAACCAAACATAAATAAAAATTTACATAAATGAAATGACATGTCGTGAAACCAGACTTCCATAAATTTCACCGATATATTTATTTCAACCATAACTAACTTCTCGGTACGTTTTTTTGTCGGATTCAAAATGCTTTTTTCCCGTAGCACCAGGCTCGAGATAAAAAGATTCACACCTCTATCGATTAAATATATTTTTCATATGGTGAGTACATGAAATTCTTAATTTGTTTACATCACAAACGTTGACTACTCACTCACGTACTCTGATTTCTGTGGTTAAATTTTTCCTAATTAATGTATTATAGAAATTCTGAGGACGATAGAATAACAGACCGTAGGGTTACTAGCCCTTGTACAAACGGCTAAAGTTCGTACAAGTAAGTTCTCTGAGAATTACGTAGGTCATGCACCCAGCGACCCCGGGCGGGCTTAGGGACGTTAGACGTCTGCTGACTCCCACTATATTTGAACGTAGCTAGCTAGATAGTAGATAGATAGTTCCTTAGTTCAAACATAAAGTATATTCGTGTACAATTTCGCTAAAACCAGCTCGTTTCACGACATGTACATTATTTTGTGTAATGATGTTAGTATTTTTTCTTGTTATTAATTGTTGTCTTTATATTTTTTGATTTTGTGCCCTTATAGTTCCACAGTACGAGCGAGACTGATCTTTCCGGTCCCTCTTCTTTCACTACGAAATCACTCCTAATTTTTTGATCACAGACCGGCTGGAGGTACCTCCCGTCTCCAAGGTCTCGGACCCCGGTCGACGACGCTTCGAGCTACTGGAGCCAAAACTCGGACCAGAACGAACTCGGACGTCGCCCATCCTACCCGTCGGGTTGATCACTTTGAATAATAACAACATTAGTATCCTTACGTAGTAAGTAAACTGGGATAGGAAATTATATTGTATTGCGGTTTTGGAGCCAGAACAGGTTTTACAGTTAGGACAGGGTTATAAGTTCATACCTTCCTAAATGCAAAAAAAAACTTAAAAAAAATAAAGATTTATGTAAAAACTAGTAGAAAAGAGTATCTAGACACAGAGGAGTCTCCAAAAGTGTTATCCCCGTTAACGGAGCACTCGGGACAGCAAGGGTAAATCAAAAAGTCCTCTTACCCATGCACTCACGTGGTTCCTGCAGCGAGTCTGCTGTCGACACCACGTTGTCTCTCTTAATGCTATTCCGCTTCTTCACCCGAAAACAGGGTCAGTTCCCATTCTTGGTAGATATTATCATTCTGCATGACTTTTGTGGAAAAGTTTAATCAAAAATAATTCGACCAATGTTTTGCTACGTCTTGTGAACAAACAGACTTTCACAATAGTACTCTCCAATTACGACCTGTTCCAGACCAAAGACGGGGGGGTTTACGGGGTCGTCTTGTTGTGTTGTGGAGGACAGTACTCAACAGTTGTGTCGTGAGGGAATAGTCAGGTGTCATGCTCCGCTCTGACTAGAAGGCCAGGGAGAAGAAGTGAGTCTTTAGTGAGGATTTAAAAACCCCTAGTGTCTGGGCCGACCTCACATGGAGGGGCAGAGTGTTCCAGAGCCTGGGGCCAGCTGCTACGAAGGCTCGATGACCTCGGGTTTTGAGCCTGGTCTTGGGGCTTGAGCCTGCAGCGGGGGTAGATGGGCAGCCAACTAGTGAAACTTAATTATGTTAATCATAGGAAATGCATCATCATTTGTACCCTATCCTTTATATAAGCATAACGCCAAACCTCGTCCTTGTCCAAAATGTCAATCCTGTCCACATATTCAAGTATGGAAGGATTTACTGTTTTTTTGCATTTTTTTTATTTTCTAAATACATTTTTGATCATCTTTTCTTCATGATCTGTGTCTCCTCAGAGGTTTTCACAATAGGGGGCAATGCCTTCGGAGGCCCCTGTCAGTTCCCATTTAGTTTTCAGGAGAAGTGGTACGCTGAGTGCACAAAGGACGGTCGCTCAGACGGACAGCTGTGGTGTGCAACAGAGAGAGATTACGATAAGGCGAAGAAGTGGGGCTTTTGTCCCAGTCAAGGTAAGAAACATCTATAATAGTAAACGGTACTGAAAACACCTTTTCAAATTAGTTTTCATTAAGCTGGTTACAAAACGATGCAGAATCACCTTGTTTGTCCTGAAAGTGTTATCATGGAAGAGGTTAATGCTGACAGGTCTGGTTTCTGCCCCCCCAAATCCCCCAGCAGAACAACACAACCACTTCCTGTCATGAGTTGTCAACACAGCACTGTCTTCACTTTCCTCTTCTCACAGGCCAATCCTAAAAGCTGGGGCAGGAAGGGGACATTAAAAAGAGACAAAGCTCCCTTTAACTATTTGTATAAAGCACAGCACAGCCATAGTCTAGAAGAGGGAAGATGTTTCTCATTAATCTTTTTTCAGTTGTGAGATGCTTGTTCTATCTAAAATCCATTCAGGTCAACAGGCATTACACTAGATTAAATCCTTTCCTGTTGTTTGACCATTTGTGTCTATATTATAATGCAGCATCCTCAGGTTGGGACACTGACCCGGTCACAGGGGTTCAGTATCAGAGGAACGCACAGTCAGTGCTGACCTGGAGTCAGGCCAGGAAGAGCTGCCAGCAGCAGGGAGCCGACCTCCTCAGCATTGTAGAGCTGCATGAGCAGTCATACATTTCAGGTACAAAGTCAGTCTTTTGTCAATTACAAATACTACTCAATGTTACAATTTCTAACTTTTTTTATTTGAATGTATGTTTTGACGCAGGGTTGACAAATAATTTGGGAACAGCTCTGTGGATTGGACTGAACAGCTTGGATTTTGAGAGTGGATGGCAGTGGAGCAATGGAAACCCCTTCAGATATTTAAACTGGGCTCCAGGTCAGTGAAGATATACAAACCTGTGCAGAATATAATCATATGAGGAGCTGGATAAATGCTCCCATGAATTATCAAATACTTTTCACATGTCAAATATATAATACATGGATTGATGTTTTCAATAGGTCACCCTTCGTCAGAGCCCGGGCTCACCTGTGCGACCCTAAATGCTGCAAAAGCGTCAAAATGGGAGAGCAGCGCCTGCACCAAGAAACTTGGTTATATTTGTCGGAAGGGAAACTCTACCAGCCTGCCTCCACCACCAGGTAAATCAATAGCCTAATTCCAATGAATCAAAATCTGACTTGTGGAGTCTTCATGTTGCAACCTAATTTGTTCTCACGTTCTATGTATGTCTATCTACAGTCAAAAACCAGCCCAGCTTCTGCCCCAGTCACTGGGTGCCATATGCAGGAAACTGTTACTACCTGCAGAGGACTAAGAAGATGTGGAGGGAGGCTTTGGATGCGTGTCACAAAGAGGGGGGAGATCTGGCCAGCATAAGCAATATAGAAGAGCAGAGCTTCGTAATATCTCAATCTGGATACTGTAAGTGTACACATAATGCATTTTTCCAGTGACTTCTTGGTTTTAACACCAATCCTATGCAAAAATAATTGATGTTTATATGATTGATCATAGTGAACTTTTACCTTTTTTAAGTATTTGTTTGTACATATTGGCTAATCGTTTTATTCACTTTTACTGCCAACAATTAGGAGAGAGCATCAGCACTGTAGCCTACATGGCCTTAGACAGCAGCTCATTGCTGTCCATATTATCTAACTGTGTGCAAGAAAACAAATAAACATATTTCTCCAAATATCTGACTATTACGATTATAATAATCAAATTCAAGAAACTGTACACTATCCACACATTCATATCTCCATGTATAACCCTTAGTGCCGACAGATGTGCTTTGGATTGGCCTCAATGATCAGAAGAACCAGCTGCTGTTTGAATGGTCCGATCACTCCCACGTTACCTTCACCCAGTGGCAGACTGGGGAGCCATCTCATGCCACCAACCTACAGGAAGACTGTGTCCTCATCAGAGGAAAGGTATTCTAAGCATGCAAAGCGTGATCATTGAAATGATAATAGGAAAAGTGCTGTTCTTAAACACTGCATGTGGTTAATACAGGACGGGAGGTGGGCTGACCACTCATGTGAGAAGGCGTATGGATACATCTGTAAGAGTAAGGCCTCCACTAAACCAGCTGAAGGCGCCCAAGAGGAAGCCAATCCAGGATGCAAACTTGTGAGTGCTGTCTTTCCCTTTGAAATAGTTTAATTAAACAACACTGTATTTATCAGATTTATCTTAATGTGTTATTTTTTTATCACCTCAAGGGCTCAATCAGGTTTGGTTCTTATTGTTACAACATTGGATCTGAGTCAAAAACCTTTGATGAGGCACAGCGGGCATGCTCAGAGACTGACGCTCACGTGGTGGATGTGAATGATAGGTACATTTCTATGTTTATGTTAATGTGAACTTTCCAACGATAAATATCAGGCTTCATTTTTAAACCCATATAAATATCATTAATCTCACCTTTCTGCCTTTCCTATGTCTTCATGCAGATATGAGAATGCCTTCTTGGTCAGTCTGGTGGGTTTGAGACCAGAGAAGTATTTCTGGACAGGTTTATCGAACACAGCCAACATTAACACTTTCTCGTTGACCACCAAAAGAAAAGTCACATTTACTCATTTCAATGTGGGCATGCCAGGTACAGCACACTTCTAACCATTTCAAAATTGATTGATGTATGTGCTGTTTATGATTAAATAAAATGTTGATTGGAATCGAAGAGTTATGTGGCACTATGTTGAATGTATAAGCTAATGTTATTATGCTACAGTAACGTGATAAAATGGTAAACATTATGCTAAACCTCAACGGGTTAACACTCTCATTGTGTGCATGTTAGCATGCTGATGTTAGCATTAACTCAGAATTAGTTGCAGACATTTATTGTTGAATATTTATTTCTTGTTAACTTTGTTTATACACACCTTAATTTCTCTACTCTAAAACACCTTCCTAATGATTGCTATTTATTGTGATCATTACATGTTTGAGCTAAGTGTATCTATATTTGTCCCATTCTCTTTGGTGTGTTTAATAAAAGACAGACACCAAGGATGCGTCGCGATGACAACTGGCATTTTCGCTGGATTATGGGATGTTGTCAGCTGCAGCAACAAGGAGAAGTATGTCTGTAAGAAACTAGCAGAAGGGGTACCTGTGACAACAGTCGCACCTACCACCCCCGCCCTCAGCTGTGATGCTGGCTGGACCCCCGTGGGCAAGAGGAATGTCTGCTACAAAGTAAGAGTACAAACTGAAGTAATCTGGGAAACTGGTGCAATTTTAAGTTCATAAAACTCAAGGTATTTTCTCTTTCACTCATAAAAAGCTTTACAAAAAAACAGCGGAGCATAAGAAGACTTGGCAGGAAGCTCTGGACTTCTGTAAGGCCATCGGTGGGGACCTGATGAGCATACACAGTACGGAGGACATGAGCAACGCTCAGTATGTTAACCTAACAGCTTTTTTATGTCAAAATATATATTATGGTAGTCAAACATTCAACTAATCAGTAATGGTGTTTTTTCTGTTGTCATAAAGGTTTCGTTCCGCTGACGGAGCCTGGATCGGCCTCAGTCTAGGTACCAATGCAGGTTTTGGATGGAGTGATGGATCATCTGTATGTAGACTTCATTGTTCTCATTATAAGCCTTTTTCAATCTTATTACCAACCCTGACCCAATTATTGTGTATTTCCAATATGTGTGTACTAGTTCGAATTTGAGAACTGGTCCTTTGGGGAACCAAATAACCACAATGATGATGAACACTGTGCAGAAATCCACTCTTACTACGGACGGCACTGGAATGATCGGCACTGTGAGTCCTACAATGACTGGATCTGCCAGATACGCAAAGGTAACACCGACACGTCTCATTATGGACATGCAATTTCTGTCCAAAGTAGTTAAGTAGAGCTTTGCCCTCCTTAAGATCTTCATCCAGCTTCTTGTATTTTCAGGTGTGACTCCGAAACCGGAGCCTGTCAAATTTACAGAAGGTAAGTTTTTAAGTTCGGGCCTTTTACTGAAAACGTTTCACTTTGTTTTTCTTGACATTTTTGGCCTTTAGTAGAATGTCTAAAACTCTAGCTCCTAGCATGGCTGTAAACTGTTAGGTTCACATCAAATCTGGGCCTCTCATTTATTTGAAAGCCATGCTTCTCATCAATCCCTTATGAAATGGTTTTGTTCCCTTTACAGTAAACAACATCACAGAAGATGGCTGGATTATCTACAATGACACACAGTATTTAATCAACAATGATAATCTCGACATGGAAGCTGCTCGAGCCTTCTGCAAGAAGGGCTTTGGAGATCTTGCAGTCCTCACAGGGGAGAGTGAGAGGAAGTTCCTTTGGAAACGGGTAAGAAAAACATAAAACCAACGATCCAATGTGGTGGCAAAATTAGTGAGAACCGTGTCTTACAATTTTTAATTTAACCATAAGGTCTCTTACCTTCCAACAGGTAGCAAAAACCGGAGGACAGTTCTACATTGGCTTGTTAGTGAATTTGGACAAATCATTCAGGTAAATAAAACTACTGTATTTCGTCTCGTTGGATTACTAGTGTAGGTATATTGGGTACTTCCCATGTGTGGGGAAAACTTCTGTGTAGCAATGCAGGAGGAGTCACCGACTCAAAAGGAGACACGGGGAGAGCTGGAGCTTTGCTGTCTAACACTGACTTATGTATATGTAATTAATAATCCAGTCCAATCTATTAAATACTTGTCGACATTACTAAACAAACTGAGTGGGTACGATGACATATTTGCAGTGTGTGAAAGTTAGTAATAATCTTTTAACCCGGTAGACAAGGGTAGGGTACGCATCTTATGTCCCCTCGGTAGTAGGTCGACTGTTACCTCTCTGTGTGGTTCCTCAGTGAAACTTTGGTAAGTTCGCACAACCCCTTACGTAAGAAGGGTTCCGGGTATGACATTGAGAACTGGCAAATAGTCAATTTGACAGGACTGACTCGTGGCACGGGCACATTGGAACGAGACACGAGAGTCACAAGACAGAGGGACAAGGACGCGCGGACACCCGCAGTCGATATCTCCACAATATAGAACAATACTGGTCGATACAACTAATAAGGGACTTGATCGATTTATGTACCCAGACCCCATGTCGAGTCTAAAACTTGCACTTGAGATGGCACGTCAGTCTTGGCGAGACTGAGAGACTGAAGAAAGCACTTACGGGACCGGTTCGAGGANCGGCTACAATGATTGGTCGTGCTTTTTACAGCGCCACGGCTTCCACAGATGACATTTTTTAATGGATTTTTTGTCAAAGCATTTAAGATATTCATTGCTATCGGTAGCAATGAATATCTTAAATGCTTTGACAAAAAATCCATTAAAAAATGTCATCTGTGGAAGCCGTGGCGCTGTAAAAAGCACGACCAATCATTGTAGCCGGCCCGGCTAAAATAACTGGATGGCCTACCTGCCTGTCAGCCTTCCATCTGTGCACAAACTTATCTCGTGCCCTCATTGGTCATGTGCGCGTTCGTGTGTGTTGGAGGAGGGGCTCTGTGAGGAAGTGGTAGATTTTCTCCGGTCGAGTATTTTCAAATTATAGCGATCTCAAGCCGGTTTCTCAAACTTACATACCCTACCTTTAAATACATATACATTGTTAGGTTTTGCTAACAAGTCTCTAAAGGTGACTTCGGCATGATACTTAACGTCATCATGCCGAGCAACAGTAGCTTAATATGTGGAAATGAATCTTGCTCTGCAAACATTTGAAAAATCCCATCGCTTTTTGCTGAGAGACTCCTTCCTTTTGATACTAACTTTGCATATTCAGGTTTAAGTTAGGTAGCAGGAGGGATGACATAAACCAGGCAATTTATTCTTTCTGTGAATCTGAGACATGAGGCATGGTGACAGACAAGTACACACACATGAACACACGTACATGGTGGCAGTGACTGGTCCAGATGGTAGGAGAGCAGGCGGACTTAGCGGATAATGTGAGGGAGCTGATGGGAGGGGGGGGGGGTCTCAGCTGGGGCGAGAGGGTTAAATCTTTCTGATTGGAATCCACAGCTGCACACACACACGTGCATAGCGTCACACAGCTGAGTATGTGAGGACTGCACAGAAGTTTCTGGAAGTGTAGTGAGACTTGACAGAGTTGTGTGACTCAGCAGTGGGAGTTTGCTTCCTCCTGTCTGTCTGTCTGTCTGCTCTTTAAAAAAAAAATTACCTCTCATTTCTATTTCCTTCTCTCTCTCCCTCTTTGTCCCCATTTCATCATCTCACCTTTATTATTGCGTCTCTGTTCGGCTCGCACTCACCCGCAGCACCACACTCTTATTTTTTTACCGTCTTCCTCTCATTTTGTGTCTATCTCTCAGCAGGAGCTCCTAATGTGACGAACTGTGCAGACTCTCTCTCTCAACAGTTTCTGACACACTCAATGGAGTGTAAAGTCGAGCAGAAACACGGTGATGCGTTTGAGAGACAGATGGTAAGTGAGTGAAGGTAAACCCACCTCAAGCATTTCACCTGCACATGTTGTATGATGGGGTTTAATCACCAATCCAACTTACATTTATCTGTATCGTATACATTTATGGTATGAAATACAGGAGCAATTTGGGGTGAAGTGTCTCAGGGACACAACGACATGCTGACTGCAGTGGGGTTTGAACCTGTGACCCCCTGATCCCAACACCAACGCTCAACCCACTGCACCACACGCCTGAAATATTATAGCGAAACACTATGTAATATTTAGTGTAAAGTGTTTAATTGACAGTACGTTTTACATGCAGCCATTAGGGGGACTGTTGCTTTCTTTGTGATTGTCCATATATACGTGTTAATATAATGTCACGCAGACAGCTGCCAGATGCTGTTGTACAGTAACACTTCATAATCCAGATGTTACTTTCATTACTGCTGCCATGACACATCATTATCGCTCTCTCAATGTGTGTGTGTGTGTTCACTACCCTCTCTCTTCACCTCAGTCTCCCTCCATCCCACTTTCTCTTTGTTTACCTCTCTATTGACTCCATCCTCTGTTTTGGCTTCAGCCTCTCTGTTTCTCTCGGAGCCGGTTTGAAGTCTACCAGTAGGGGAGTGTGTGTGGGTGAGGACGCCCTGCAACCTGCAGGTCTTTGTATTGAAAATGAGTTTTATATTTTTCAAGAGGCCAGCAGGTAGTGTGTGTGTGTGTGTGTGTGTGTGTGTGTGTGTGTGTGTGTGTGTGTGTGTGTGTGTGTGTGTGTATTCTTTTTATTTTTCAATAGATGAAAGCAGACAGGGTGCAGACACAACAGAATAGCAGCACAGAGGAAACTGCTCCACATGTACATGGAGACGTTCAGACTTGTCAGTCTTCGCTATTAAAATGCCCAGGCGCACATATGATAATTTGGTGCTCCAATAAACAACCTNGAATTATTTTTTACGTCACAAAAGTGGAGCTCCGCCTATATGGCCAACTCTCCACCAATCAGGGGAATGAGAGGTTGCCGGGGCATGGTAACAGCATGGTAACAGCATGGTAACATGGCGCTCGTAACTCGGCCCCCTCCTTTGCCATGGTCAGCTGCAGCGCATGCAAAGACAGGGTGGAGGAGAGCAAGATAGAGCGAAATGAGGCATGGCTAAAATGCATGATCTGTTTGGTATTTTGAAAAAGAGAACGTATAAATATACCT